TAAAAATCGCGATGTTTCGTATTTTACTTGATATCTTCGAAATAAGCTTTTTCAATAGAGTCTACGGACGTCGCTGGACGATGATGTTACTGTTGTGTATTATAGTTCAATAAAAAAGTATTTGTTTTAATTTAGAGATAACCGTTTTCTTCTTTTCTTCTTCTGTCAATGCTTTAATCCGATGCTCTTGTATCAGAATTTTAAAATTAATTGTTATACAAAAAAAAATATATATATTTATATATAAGATTGTGAGAGAAGGTAGCATTTTGACATAAAGATTGGTGAAATGTTGTTACTACAAAAGCCTAACATATATTATGATTCTCTCGTCCACTCTTGAATTGATTGAAATTTTTTCGAATCACATTGAACAACTAAATGTGGCAGGTGATAAAAAAAAAAATAGTTTAATTATGCAAAAATTATGCTCTCTTACGCATTTTGAGTAGTTAGAATGTCTTTGAATTGCCGATTTAGCAATAGTTGAAACCCATAAAAACGAAATATGGTATATGTTTAAAATTTCTCACACTGCCGTTAAGATGTGATCTAGCTATTCTTATAAACTCTTTTCCTACACTCTTTTCGTCCTACACTCTTTCGCCAATGTTCGATAAATCACGTTTTCGTGTCGAACATGCTTTTAATAAATGTCAATTGATAAATACATTTAACGCCGCGTCAACAGAGGTATGAAACTGATTTTTCGAAATTAATAAAATAGCTGCTTAACATCATGTTAAAGCAATTAAAAATGTTAATTATATTTTATAAATCAAATGAGCAACGAACCGTAGTCAAAGTTGAGACCAAAACAAATGGAATGAAGCAATTGAAATTCTATTAAAACTACGAGTATTTTATATGAAAAAAAAAAAAATTTAAAATAAAATAAAATAAACACCGATCGAGAGGGCACATATGCAAAGCTGATGGTTGCCTACCCACAACAGCTCTAGCGGCACATCATTGGCCTTAACGGCAGCGTGTGTGCGGTGTGGCCAATTGTTTTACATATGGCTATAAATTTGTGGCGCGTTTCGAATGAAATAAATCCAACACTCACGCATTTTGAAATATTGTATAAATAGTTGGTGCGTGTGTATGTACTCAGGCATTTGTGACAAAAATGGACGCATCGCTGGCGTTGCGAGCGTGAGAGGCGGCAGCAGCCGTTTTGTTTGAACAAAAATGGCTAAAAATTCGAAATTTATGCAAAACGCTGGACATGTCAACATTTTCATAAATTTTCAATACAAAACTGTTGTATACACAAATTCGAACTTTTTCCGCAATCAATTTGTTTTATTTGGATTTTTTGGTATAATAAAGTAAAAATAATTAGCAGCGCGTCAATGAAATGGCGACAAAAAGTGGCGAAACGAGTTTTGGTTTTGTTGTTGTTTAGATCAAGGCCTCCACTGTATTGGTGCGCCTCTGTAGCAATTTGTTGTATTAAAAATTTTAATTTCTAATTTATTTATAAAAACATGCATATTTATAAATATTTAGTTTAAGTTGTCGCTCCTGTCAACAACAAAATGGTTTTCCTAATTTATTGTATTTTAATATACATTGTTTTTTTGAACGAAATTTTATTCAACATGCGTTTTTGTCATTTCGTAAAAACTGTGGGAAAATAATTTCGCAAACATTTAACGATTACGTAATTATTTTTATTGGCGGCTGCTGAGGCGGCGAGCGGATTTCGTCCAGTTTTATACACACATATGTATTTATGTACAACATTTTTGCTGCATATACATGAATATTTGTGTATTTGCGCACTTGTCGTCTCAAATGCACACACACACACATACACAAACATACATGCATTTAAAAACACACATACATACATACACGCAGCGCGCTTTTAATGGCATATTGGCTATAAATGGCGTTAACGGCGTTGTCATTCCGTTTTTATATGCCTCTGGTATGTGTTTTGTATTTGCTTGTATTTATTTGTTTGCTATCTCCATTACAAGTCACATCTCTATTACTCGTTTAAGCGCGCGACTTCTACATTTTACATCGTTGTAATTGATTAATTCGCCAACACCAAACGTACTTATTAAGCTAACAATCGATGTTTTAATACGTTTGTTGCCATTTTCGTTATGAAATGCAATCACAAGTGTACGTGTACATTTTTTCCATACTTTTATGTACATACATATGTATGTACATACAATGTCAGTGTAGTATTGGCGAATTTGGCTTGTGAGAAAAAAGCTAGCAAGCAATCGTTCGTAAAGTTAGAATAGTTGCTAAAGGAATGTCGGTGATGAAGTTCTGTTGTACATTACAACAATAAAATCAATCAATACTTTTTTCTAAGTAGTTTAATGTGATTAAAACGCAGCGAGGTTGCAACTAGTCCTTATTTGCATAAACACACACCTCATCTAATAAAGATGAACTAAAATTGTGGCTGCTAAAAAGTTCAATTGTTTGAGAAATATTCATAAGAAGTTGGTTTGCAGGTGAATTAGTCTAATCGTACATGGTTGTCATTAGGCGGAATTCTTAGTACAGTGATCATCGTAGCAAGTATATACAGTGCTATTTAAATTCGATTAGAATAATAGTTCTAACAATAGTAATAAAATTAGAAGAAGACAATATTAGCACAGTGAGATCACGGATAAACTCTTATTAGGCAATATTAAATATTTTCAAGAAATTGAACCATTGAAGAAAAATTTACTGTAAAAGACATAATACGCAATTCTTTACAAATATATCCATCATCTATTGTTTTGTATTGGGTTCATAACTATATTCGTACAATTTTTTTTTTTAATTTCAACGTTTATTTAAGAGAAACATGTACAATATTATTATTCAATGTATGGCCCATCTGAAGCTATATCATCTTCACATCTTTTAGGCAACTTGTGGATTTCATCGCAAAAGAACTGCGCTGATTGAGCGTTCCAGAAGGAATAAAGCCAATTTTTGATACCCCCTTTTGATGTGAACCGTATTCCAGTGAGCGCGTTATTCATCGACCGAAACAAATGATAGTCAGAAGGGCCAAGGTCTGGGCTTAAAGGCGGGTGAAGCAAATCTTCTCAGCCGCTGCTTACCAAATCATTTTTAACCGGTCTTGGTATATGCGGCCGAGCGTTGTCATTATAGAAAATTATTGCCGATTTTAGAACCTCATAATAAAGCTCGCCTTTCTGATCCAACCAAATACAGAGCACTACTTTGGCGTCAGACATGATTTTTGGCTTAGGGTTGTCGAAATTGAGTAATTTTTCATCACCAGTAATAATCTGAAGTAAAAACGACTTCTCTTTTTTAGCGTTCTGCAGCATTTCTGACATGCAAGTAACGCTTCCAGTTTTGAAATGATTACCCGAGCGACTTCCAAAGATTCTGCGAGCTTTTCATGTTTTTGGAAACAATAGAATAATACATCCAGTTCCATATCTTTAAACTTTTTTGGCCACCCAGGACGTTCAACGTCTTCCCAGCCAAGATCATCACTTTTAAATTTTGCACATCATTTTTGGCGCGTTCGCTGAGCTATAACATATTCACCATACACTTCCACGAAAATGCCATTCGGCTGAGCTTTTCACATAGTGGAGTAATGAAGAAGAAAAAACAATTTTTCAGGTACAAGTTCGACATTTTTGAGTGAAAAAAAATATTTGCGTTTAGCTTTCAAATTAATGACGCTACTGAAAGGGGCGCAACTAGCTTTCCAATGGATGTTTGGAATATTAAAACAATGGAATAATAATCAAGTTACTTCATATCTTGGCAAACCACATGAGTATGGTTATAGAATTTAGAAGATACAATAACTGTCCGACCTGCTTCTATTGCTGTTAAGAAAGAAATAATTTCTGGATTGGTCAGTCCAGAGCCCTTAAAAAAGGATTAATTTTGAGACTGGATATGGTGTGATCAAAAAGTAATAACATTTTTCTCTTACAACCTTTATTAAATATATATACAAGTATATAAGAAAATCCTTATATAGATATTTTGATATAAAGTGGCGGCTAGTAGTAATCGAAACTTTGAGATCACTTTCTCCAATAGTCTCTTAGTGCTATCTTCACCCGATTTGAAAAATGTAGCGCCGAGAAAAACGCGTTTTAAACTTTACTTGCAGAAGATAACTGGGCTGAAGGTTTCAACATTACGGTGGTTTAAACGGGGAAATAATTATATTTACTAGTCTACTATTGGATAATGTTTTAAGGACCCTAAAATATACTTTAAGCCAAAAGTTAAATCTTTGAAAATCCTAGACTTGCCTATACCTTTATATATGTATGTAATTCCGCATTGCTGGGTGAACACTACATTTTACTATTGTTATTGTTCTTGTAACTGCAGAAAATATTTTCCAAATAATTTTCAGAACAGTCTCTAGACAATCTTACGACAGTCGGGTCTTTGTAGGAACGCACAGTTATTTTTTGACGAATGCGCTTATATTCTAATTTAATGTACTTGTAGTAATTTCTTTTACATTTTTATATTTTCAAATTTTTATTGAATCGAGTTTCTTCCAGTCTTAAAATCTGCTTTGAGGCAAGTGAAATAGTCTTCCATATACTCATGATCAAAGCGAATTCTCTCGTATCGATTACTTTCTATAATATATGTATATGGTATATATGGTCTACAATCATGTAGGTTTTTTCCTGATTCTTATTTATTTGATCTCTTCTTGGCGACTGAAAATATATCATAACCCATGTGTTGATTAGATTTGGTCCGTCTCATACACCTACAAGATATGTATATCAATTAATTTTAGCCTAGAAATAAATCAATTTGACTTTATAGTCGTGTATTTATTTTAAAACTATGAGCAACGCCTAACATGCATTTGCTCTGGTATAATTCTATATGTACATACATATGTATTTGCATACATTTTTCAAAACTTTCTGAAATTTTTCTAAAATAGCTTTGATATGTATTATTTATATTTTGAAATTTTGAAAAATTTATTTTCAGAGCAATCCATATGCATTGAAAGATTCAGCAACTGGCACAGAAATGACTGCTTGGACATCAGCTGGGCTGCAACCAACTACCGGATATTACTCATACGACCCGATGTCCGCTTATGGGTGAGTACAGAAATGTTCAAATAAATTCTTTTTCAATGTAGCAACAAACTACAATATATTAAGTTTTTAGTTAGTGTTAGGATTAAAATATATAAAATTATTTGAATATAAAATATTTTCGAACTATTTTTTTAGTATATTTGTGCAATTGTTAAGTGATTATTTAAAATAAATAATAATTATTACTACAAATTAATACCCTCAAAACAATTTACTTCAGTGTCGATCATACATCAGCATATTATATAACTCAAATTAAGTAGCAATAAAACTTTAAACACATCATTTACTGACTAACACGAATAAATCACCAGCAAACGCGCGCAATGAATGCGAAAATTATAATAAATTGAGCACAATTAACTGCAATTTACTAACAAAAATAAATGAATTGAAAAGTCTGACACTTCGACGGTCATTAGTGAGCCGCCGCAGCAAGCAGGCGCACACTCATTAAATATAAAAAGCAAAAACAAAAAAAAAAAATGAATAAAACAATTGAAATGCGACAAAGTTTTGGAGTTGTGACACACAAACAAGCGGCCCTAACTGCCCATAATTAATTGCAAAAGATTTGCGTAGCACTTAAAATTGATTTGAATTTAATTGTTGAATATAGCGCAGCGCCGCAACTCACCATTGCTGGGTCACCGTAGATGGATGACATAAAAAGCGCGCACACACTTACAAATATACAGATTTGTATTTGTATGTGCATACGGAGAATTTCCAATTGTTTTGCTGAATGCGGCGCAAAATTATTTATTTATGATTGCGGTGGAAATAATCGCATTTAATTGCATACAAAAGTCTGTGTGCTACAGCAACAACAACTAAATAAACATTAACATGTGTATAAACAAATAAACAAAATGCAGTCGACTTGGCCAAGCCCAGTTGGCATGGTGGGCGATATGTGAGTTGATGGCGAAGTGTGGGCGCGGCGTGTGCCAGCAAGTGGAGCAAGCGAAGCGGTGCACTTTGGCTGCGTGTATGACAGAGGAAAAGGTTCCGATTCGTTGGGCTTGCGTGCAAAAGCGGAAATTCAACTGACATACATAAGCATTTACTTATGTATACATATACATACGTACATGCACATTTGTAGGTGCTCGGGTATTTGTGCGTGCTTGTGCGCCATATTTTCCTCCATATTTTGTGACAAACCGCACTGCAATAAAATTACAACAATAGACCATTAAATCAGCAATTAAACGCTTTGAAAAAGTGCTGATAAAATATAAAGCTCTAATTTGCTACACTATTTTGGAATATTATGGGCAGACATTTTTTATCGGAACGAAAGTAGTAAAAAAGATACAAAAAGAGAAAGTTGAAGCAATTTGAATTTTGTATTTCATCATAAATTTTATAAAATACTTTGATTACTATTACAGTTATCATATTCTTTTCTACATATCGTATGTAAATATATTTGAGAATATTCTCCGAAAATTCAAGTTGGCAAACGGTTTCGGAGATATGAGCGTATTTGTAAGACTTTTTTAACTGGTTGTAATCGGCTCCCAAAACTTTAAAGGCATTTTTCTCGAAACCGATCGACTTGTAATTTTCACAAGACTTTCTTAGATATATATATATTTATTAGGTAATCGTCGAAGGAATAACATTTTTGATAATAATTTCAGTTTTTTAAGCCACTATGAATTGTAAATTGTTTCACTAGATTTTATTTTTTTGGGAAGCTGCCATTTTGCCAAAAATCAAAACTTTGAGTTTGAAACAATTGTAATCAGAAGAATCTTCCTCACCACCAGATAAATTTTTCAGTGGTGCTTCTAAGATCAGCGAATGGATCAAGATAATTAGAAATATATTAAATTAGGTAAATTGACAGCTTTTTAAATTAAAGTGCCTCTTAAAAGAGCAGTGAAGGACGCTTTTTCTGCCTTGCAAGTGGATATAACTCATAACTAACATGCTAAGAAGAATTCAGCGTCTAGTTGCCGATATATCTATTTAGTATATTTTTTTTTAATTACTACATTGGGAAAACTTCAAGCATAACTCTGTTTCCTAGGGATTGAGTGGCTATGATTTTAAATATTTCTTACTCGATCTTTCTTTCGTTCTCGCATCAAAATATTAAACAGGATTATTATTTCATTATCAATTGTTGAATCTGAGGAAAGTTAATTTTTGCTATTCTATATATTTTTGTTATTGTTATCTTACGTTGCTGAGGGTATTTATAATAATTTCTTCCAAAAACTATATAACTGATATGTTAAGGATCTCTGAAATGAGTCGGACCTTGGAAACTGTATTTTCTTTGCTAGGCTCCGTCATTTTCAGCCTATTTGTTATACTTTTGATCGGTAAGTTTGAATGGCAGCTATATGCTATAATGATCCAATCTGAACAATTTCTACTAAGATTGTAGTTACGCCTCGGATAATTATCTATGCTAAATTTCTTGATGATGCCTTGTCAACTAAAAAAGTTTTCCATACAAGGACTTGAGTGGGATTGGTCAATTTGGATGCCAGCTATATATTATAGTTGTCTGATCTGAACAATTTCATCGGAGTTTGTATCAATGTCTCGTATAATAATCGATGCCAAATTTCAAGAAAATACCTGGTCAATAAAAAAAGTTTTCCAAGCAAGAACTTGAATTCAATCGGTCAGTTTGTATGATTAGGTGTTTTATATGGGCGTATCCGACATATGAGCAGCATTTTGGGGGGAAACGACGTGTGCAAAATGTCAGGTCGATATTTCAAAAACTAAGAAACTGAATCGTGCATATAGATGGTCTGGGAAAATACACTTTTAAGGGTCTCTGAAGTTTTCTTTTACGTGTTTGGAGCATACTTAATATATCTCGCTCAGAATATAAAAATTTAATATCTAGATCTAAGTTTTTATTCACAAGAACTTTTATAATTTAGTGCAATTTTATTTATGTTCTTAATATTTAAGGTAATATATTGTATTTACCTCTTAGCAATAAAGACCTTTGTAACTCTCCTCGTTCGAAACAAAATACTGTACATTCACAATACGATAGCGCGATACACGCGACGTCGGTGCTGTTTGTTTTGGCCCCAACCAACCACTTTAACATCTAAAACTCGTTGACAAAATGGCAAAAGTGGGTTGTAGCCAGGCGGGCACTCAGTCAGCCATTATCAGCGGTACAGCGAGTCAATCTTGGCCGTTTTGCGAGTTTCGCGTGTGCAGCTTTATTTGCACAAAAATATTTTCGTATGTGTTGCAAATTATTGTGCGCAGATAATAATTGTTTGTAGTCTAGAAAGCAAAGTGCATTAGCAATAAAAAATGCTAATAATTATTGCGCCTCCCAACCGGCACCGACAGCGCTGCTCAGACAACGGAGGCAATTTGGTTGAAAGCGCAACATTTTTAAACGCGTCAAAAAAGCGTAAAATTATAGCTTCGATTGATAATTAGAGCGCATGCCTGGGCGCGCTGTGGCTGCGTGACGCGGTGGACACTTTTAGGTGGCGTGCGCGCGCTGAAGGCAGCCAGATTGGCTGCTTTAGCAATGCTTGCCGCCTTGTAGTTGGTTTAATTGCAGCGCTTGTTGTCATTATTAGTTAGAGATGTTTTTTTTTGTTTTTGTTATTGTTGCTGATGTTGTTATCGTGGCTTTACTACATTTTTAACGGCACTTTTTTATGCGGTTGCGCTTTTTTGTGGGCACACAGTTCTTGTTTTCTGCACAATTATTGTTTTTGTTGGCACTGTTGTGTGAACAAGAATTTGATTTGTTTACAAGATTACAAGTTTTGTTCGATATTTGTATTTTTACTGTTACCCGCTGGTGGCAACATACTTGCAAGCTTTTATATATACATACATACATAGGTTGTTGCTGTTTTTAGACTCGTCTAGCTCGCTGATTCTCTATTTGCTATAATTAAAAGCCAAACAAATATGCCCAACAAATACAAAAACAAATCGTCGGCAGCTTGTACTCGTACGACTATGTGTGTGTGTGTGTGGGGGAGCGCACGCATTCAACCTTACTCGGCCAATATAATGGAACCACACATTTTCGACCAATTTTACATGCTTAAAGCGCATGTTTTGTGCGGCCATAGCGGTGAATGTAGAATTCATGTTTCAAAATTACCACAGTTTGAGGTTCGTTCGTTACGTAGACGCGTCTTATCTGTGTATTTGTCAGTTTGTCGATTGTGGGCGGTGAATTCGTGGTAATGTGGACAAATGTTAGTAAAAGCCCAAGGCGTTGAGGCGCGTCAACGCTACATTTGTTGATCAATTTTGTGAATTAACTGTACTTTCGGAGCATTGTCACAATTACAGCATCGAAATATTTAGTTTTATTTAATATAAAAAAAAAAAATATATTATTGGCAGTATTATTTGACAAAAATTAACTTTAAGTGAACGTTGTGATGTATTGTTCGGAGTTAGATTCCAATATAAGCACGTCATGAGCCATAGAAAAGTTTCATTTTAAACTCAACACCTTTTCGATGTTGGCTAAAAATGTACAGATAATTGATATGGGGGAAGAATCTTAGTCGAGCTTTTAGGTTAGGTAAAGTCGTAGGGTTGATCCAAAAATCGATGGATCTCACTTTGACAGATATTCAGGATCACCAGATTCTCATAAATTGACGAAGCATTTTTAGCTTACCACAAATTTAGGAAGGCGATTAATGTCAATCCCAGCCACTTCGCTGGGTTCGTTCAAGGTGCGTCTGGCAAAAACCGCACAATAGAGGTGGCAGTGACAAGATGATTCCACCTCGCCTTGCTCCATACAGCTTTGGCAAAGAGCGTTCGACAGAATATTTAGCATCACCGTGTGTAAACCTATTGGATAGTGTCTCCAGGCAATACACCTACAATTGCGGCGAGATTGGCTTTGCTAAGAGCCAGTAGTTCGGACCTACAATATAACAATACATATAGACATACAATCTAATATGGAAGAAGCTTGAAGCCATTTCTAATGAGGTCATGCACACCTTGATTTGTTGGGGCGCACAATCAGCGAGCTAAAAGCCAGTATAGTAGCTCGGCTATCGGAGTGAATGCAGAACTCTCTGAAGGAAGCAACACTTCGGAGCAATATATTATATTTACTGATGTCTTGATGGAAGCCATCTCCGATTGAAAGACACAACAGTGGGCAGGTAGTCTGAAATTAGAGTTGATTTAATAACGCTGGTGGGATTTTCTATATAATCTTAATATTTAATTTAGAAAAATCACTGAAAAACTCTTTGATATGAATTTAAACAAATAATTCGCAATAGAAACCAGTTAAAAGCCATATAAAAATTGCATCGTTAAACGGAAAGGAGAAGATACATACTAAGCTGATAAGCAAACGAAACTTTGGAGAAATTGCACAGTAACATTAAATAGTACAAAATAATAAAGTAACGGGAAAAATAGAATCCCACAAATGTAATAAAAGCATTACAACAAAACGAAATCAAAGTGGGTACCTAAGTCCATGGTTAATACTTATGCAAGTAAAATCAGGAGCGGGAAATGTTGCTTTAACAAAAACGGCAAATAAACTATGTAAAACTTTCACAGCTCTATGCATTTGACCAATATCCTGCCGTAAAAATATTCAAAACGAAGAAAAAAGTGTGAAAATGTGAAAACCATTATAGTTAAATAGTAAAAAAGAAAATTCAAATGTAAAAAGTACATAGAAAGCGAGGCTTTATAAGCCGAGTGCAACAACAACTCTAGAAGCAACTTAAAGTGGCATTGAGTGGCACTCACCGAATGAGCCCTCAACAGGATTTACCAAGGCAGCCAGTGCAAGCAAACGCCAACAGCAAATATAAAAATCAAAGCTTTTTTACAACAATAAAAGCAAAAAGAAAAAACAACAAAAAAACGCTCCGTCTCATAAAAAAGAAAGTATAAAAGCAGTGGCGAAAAAATGGTGCATCCGCCGGCGTAAATACATGGCTGGCAGCAACCTTGGCTGCCGGCCAGTGGCTATGAAGCGGCTAACCGTTGGACGCAAAACAGTTGCACGAGCTGCGTCTGAAGTGGTACTTTCGAGTAGTTGGTTGTAAAATTCACCGCACAAGCTGTTGATTCTTGCGGCACCATAAAAATCCCGCAAAAAAAAAATGAAGAAATAAAAATATATGCTGGCTAAGGCAGTGAAAGCTGCACACTGGAAGATAGAAAAAATCACGTTAGCCAACGTGCTTTTGTGGCGTGGTGGCACGTTGCATGCCGCGCATGCCACAGTGCTACGCAGTACAAGGTGCCGCATGCATACAAATGCAATATGCAACAATACGCGCTACCCTACCAACGTCTAGCTACACTGGGTACGCGCCGATAATCCATTGCGGAAAGCGCTGAATATGTGGCATGCTGCAACAGTGCGGCGCTGTGTAAAGCACTGTATGTAGTTTTGGTGTAACTTCAACATGTTGAACTACGCGCTACTTTTCTTGCTTTTTTTTTATTAAGTTCTGTTGTGGTGGCGTTGAATGCTTGGCTTTGCTGCTGTCGTTGGTGTTGCCACCGCTTGACGCAGCGTCTAGTGCGTGCACTGCGTGCTAAAGGACGCCTCAACACGGTTGTAAGTGTGTGTTTTCTTGTTACTCTCTCCCCGCTCCTGTTGCGATTACTGTGCGTGGATTAAAGGATATGTTGGCGCGCTACTTCGCCATTGCAACATCTACACGTCCTCTCGTTTTCCACGGTTTAAATCGTTTTCCCTTTACGTCGATAGTTGAATTCTTTCCTTTTTTGGCCGCCGGATATTTTTTCGCACTTTGCAGACATAAGTTCGTAATTTCGCTGTGTAAGCGAATATAATGCTTTTTTTCGCTCGCGATCTTACTGCAGCGTGGAAAATTAATTAGTCAAGCGTTGGGGTGAGACTTTAATTAGACAATTTGAGGGAAGGAAAAAGTTTATCAGCAACATTAAATTAAATTTTTGTGACGAAAACTAATATTTAATAAAAATAAATGTTGTAATCAAAAAATTTTAAATAATTTTCATAACTTGGTTTTGACGCCTTGATGTTTATTAACAAATTAGCTTTCTAAGATATTGGAAGATTTCACTGACCTGTGCTTGGCATTTATCTAATATGGAAAAAAGGACTCTCCGTTGGATGAGTACTCTCTGCTTGATTACTATCCGCTCCAATTGTATACATATGTTATGGTTCTCAGTGACCTTTTTTATTGGTAAAAAATATTTTCTCTCGTTTAATTGGTTAGATCGTCTTTAGGTTTCAAATCTACTCAGTTATTGTTGTTTTAACACTTAGTCCACATCTATATACTTGATATATAATATTAAGCAGATACATGGTTAAAAGAACATGTTTCTAAATACAAGTGATGTGATCTAGGTTAGAATTAAGTTAACCAAAACCTAGCCTAAATCAATAACGTTTTTGAGTAAGGTTTGCAAGGATCTCGAGAATTTCTTCTCAAATAGTACTAGGTATATGATAAGATATGCTTCATGGGAAGTACAAAGAAGATGATTTTGGTTTCTCTTGTAATTATCCGTACCGTTGCCACCGCAACAGATCGCTCAGAGTAACTTAAATTTGTCAAGTCCTGTTTAGTATTGCTGGTACGAAAATCAATTCCATATAAAGGAGATTTTTAAAGCTTTGGAAGATCATCAAAAATTATGATTGTCACTGGCAGTGGCTCGGAGCTCTGGAATATCTGAGATATCTTTAACTATGTATGTTCCATGAGTATCGGGCGATTCTATCGTCGGTGCATAATTTGTATTATATATTTGGCTTTTCCTCAAACCCTTCAAGAGCTTACATATCGAGGATATTGTTGCAGCTTTTAACTCTGTTTGTAGTCTCAATAGATTGTAGAGCGAAGGGAAAGCAACAATGATAATTTTCGGAAATTATATAATGTTGATTTTTTAGATTAATTACACTCTGTACTTCTAACTCAAGATCCTTTCAGAGAAGTAGTGGAATATAAAAGTAATAAATCATTTCTCTGTAGAACAATATGCAGCACCATTTGATCTGAAAACTTTATATTTTAATTTCAAAGTATGAACAGCGACAGATCAAAAAAAAAATCTGTTAAATATAACTTTTTATATAGCTCCGAAATTGTCACAACTTCAATGGTGCTTTAAGCTTTATTACTGCAGCAAACGTAGTAGGCTTTTTCGTTCAATAAATATGAAAGATATTCCTGATAGCTATGCTTCCAACCGCCCAAATTTAGTTTAAATCTTTAGATTCTGTCAAACCGATAGTTTCAAATAACTTGAGCTAATATATTTCACACTATTATTTTATAAAACCACCTATACTTTTCCATTTTTTTTTTTTTAATTCTCTTTATTTCTTATTTTAGTTACGGCCCCAGCTACGATTTGGCTGCGCGTCGAAAAAATGCAACACGTGAGTCCACAGCCACACTAAAAGCTTGGCTTAATGAACACAAAAAGAATCCCTACCCAACCAAAGGTGAGAAAATTATGTTGGCCATCATTACAAAGATGACGCTGACACAGGTCTCCACATGGTTTGCGAATGCGCGCCGACGGCTCAAGAAGGAGAATAAAATGACTTGGGAGCCAAAGAATCGCACAGACGACGATGATGAAGCAATGGTTTCTGATGAAGAGAAGGAAAAGGATGAATTGGAAAGTGAAAAGATATCACAAGGCATGCACAGTGGAAGTATTGGGGGCGGACAGCGAAAAGGTAGGGTAATATAAAGATTAATAAAGTAGACATTGTATATATTATGTTGAAGTGGTGCTAAGCTTTCTGCAAGGCTTTTATTTTGCAAGTAGTTTCCGTTATTAAGTTTAGTTATTAAATGTTTGAACCATAAGCTTTCAGAAAGCTAATTTGTATTTTACCTTATTTCTAACCCGCTCAGAGCTTGAAAAAGACGACGATGATCTGCAGGATGATGAGTCAAAATCGTTAGGTTCACACACGAACGAACTTCGTAATCAAAGCATCGGTTTTTCGGGTTCCAGCGTTGGCAGTGCTCCGAGCGGTGGCTACCATGGTTCCGATGGCACATCAAATCATCCACATAGCTACCATCCCTACCATCATCAGCATCCCGCCTACTATCAGCATCAGCAGGCACTATTGGCAGCTAGCGGCTATCCGACCGGTGGTATGCTTAGCAGCAATAATAACAATAATGTAAACAAACATGATGGTAGCGATCCAAAAAACCAGCTGAGCCGGGACTGTGGCGTGCCGATTCCAGCAAGCAAGCCCAAAATCTGGAGTTTGGCCGACACAGTCGCCTGCAAGACACCACCGCCAGCACAAGCAGCAGCATATATGGGCCAGGCGCAGCAGCAGCATCAGCAGCATCAACAGTCGCAACAACAACAACATCCCATGCAGCAGGCGCACATGAACAGCAGCGGTATGGGCAACCATATGGGTTTGTCACAGCAGCCGCCGCCGCCGCCGCAGCAGCAACAGATGCAACAGCCATCAGCGCTGGGAGCACCACCACCGGCAACACATATGATGATGAGCAATTACGGCGCCGGCACAGCCTTCTCGCGGGCGCCGCCTACCACAGCTTACGGGGGTTTTCTAGGGGCTACAATGCAGCAGCTACATACTACGAACAATACCCCATACAACAGCAGCAGCAGCAGCAACAACAACAACTCCAGTCTCCAACACAACAGCAGCAACATTATCAACGGCAGCAACAACAACAACGGTGCGGCCCATACCAATATCATCCCTATCAGCACGCGTATCGCGGCAAATACTACGGCTCAGTCGGTGGCACCATCGGCAGCGCCGCATCCACCGCCCACACACATGCGCTCGAACAACAACACCAGCGCACCACATCATCCGTACGGAGCGGCTCAGCGGGGGATGGGGTTTCCAGAAGCCCAACCCGATACTCCACCCCAAACTCCGCCGAATATGAAGCTGCAGAGCGTGGCAGCGAATCTTTTGCTTACCGCTTCGCAAATCCCTACGATCGCTACTTGTCGCAGTAATGGCAATGCTGGGGGTGGTGCAGGTGCGCTAGGTATGAGCGGCGGTTCAGCGTATGGATCAGCTAACGGCATGCGTGGTTATGCAATGAATTATTCGACACGTTTTGACGAGTACTCGCCACGCGATGAGAGCTCGAGCGGTTCGAGCAGTTGCAGCTCAACGGATTCAACACGTTTGCAGCAGCATGATTCGCCATACAAGGCAGCATATAAAAGGTAGGTGTTGAAGCTCAAAGTGAACTAGAAGTTTTCCTATCATGACTAACGCTGTACATATATGTATTATCTTGCCTCTCTCTTTCTCTCTCTCGGCAGCCAACAACTCGCTGGCTTTGTATCGCCCGTTTAAGAGCTGTCAAATTCAGGAGACAAATAATAGCATGACTCTTGAGATCTTCTAGTGGCAAGGTATGTAGAGTTGCATCAAAATGTTAACAGTTTATTATAAAACTTTATAAAATAGTCCAAAAAAAATAAAAATACTTTTAATAATTAAAATGTTATAATTTTTGGTTTTCCTCTCTTTTTCTCTATATTTGCAGACTTTTTCTTTACTTCTAACATTTGGGACATTGTGCAAATATAAATCAACTGAAGAGTAAAAAAAAAATTCAGTAAAAATAATTTAAATTAACTAAGATTTATTATTAAACTGTTATAATTTCGAGCATATAAAACTAATAAAAAATAATTTGCTAATCGGCACTACATTTAGTTAGTTATAAGTGTAAAGCTAGTTAAGCTCCTAAATCATGCAAACATTTAACAGCAAATTAAAAAGAGAAAAATATAAACATTATCCTTGCATTAATAAATTTCGAAATATAATAAATACATATGTAAGTGTTAAGTAAAATTTTCGACTGTGATAAACTACTGACAACTTGTTAGTTTACTTTTTGAGTGTAATCTGTATTGTACTACTACATACACCCACACACATTGTGCAAATATACATTACAAATACATACATACACACGTAACAATATTTAATACCAATTTAACTTAATTTAATATTTAATACATTATAATAAAATACATTGAAAATAAAATTATGAAAATATAAGAAATGTTCTCGTTCATTTAGAATGTTTAGCAATAAAGCGGTGAGTATTGAATTACAATTAACTAGAATGCTGTCACTTTCAAAGGCTCGAGTTTACACTTTTATGTTGGTTCTACAAACGAACCCGAGGTTAACCAATACTAGTGAAATGAGACAATAAAGCTGCTAGCCTGGCCTTTTTCGAAAGTACTTTCAGATAAAAATGATATCTCAAACAAGTAATGAAGGGCTAAGTTCGGCTGTAACCGAACATTTTGGATTTACCACATGTAGCTAACAGCAAACGATGCTCTCTGAGTTTCATTAAGGTACCACAAATATCATCACTAATATATTATATGCGGCAATTTTGCTTGTTTACATACGCATTGAGCCAGGAATGGGTCTTATCGCTGAACAAAATTGGATTCGAAAACGTCGAGTCTTCTTGGAACAAGAGCCTATAGAGTGAAGCGACGTCGCTTGGGAAGGCCGAGGGCTTTTAATTTAGTGTTTGCTGGACGTAGTCTATTTGGTCGAATATTATTCAATAATGAGTTATGGGTGTTGGTGTTGCGAATAGTACGCTCCGTAGGACGATTATGTTAACCATAAGTTGAGCGAAGCGGGCGAAACATATTCTTTACAGGACGTGAATTTTTGTAAGAAAGTTGAACAATTTGTAAACGGTGTTCAGGTGTAAGGTCTTTCCACGATAAAAAGCCAAAAAATAGTGAATAAAAATATCATTACAGCTTGACATGACTTTCGCTTAATCTGTCAAAAAAATGCTCTTACGTACCTCTACTTGAATTAGGAGAAGAAGGGGGGGCTTGACTGATTTCATCCTCACTGTAGTTAAGAAAAACTATCCACTTAATTCCATTAGAATACTCCTTAGACAGGTTTGATTAAGTTAACTCCCAGAAAAAACATCGGCAGTCCTTTAAAGTATACTCGTACATATACAATATTTACGCCGCTTGCATCTGTTGAGTCTAATTTTCTGCAAGCGTGTTATCAGAGGAGCACCAGTAGAGCAACGGAAGGCTTTCATGTGGAGATCATCTTGAATAAGTCTGGACATTGGTTGGTATATATCCATTACCCTTGACATCATTTTTTGTTTTCTAAGGTGATTTCTGTGAATGCGTTCGGAAACAGTTTTTATGGCTCAATTGGTTCGAACTACAAGAGAACGACCACTTCTCTTACTGTCATCAACTGTAGACGTTTGGGAAAAACGATGAATAGTGCGGCAAACAAACATTCTAGAAGTATTAAGTTTTTCAAGAAGCTCATAAATTTCACTTTTGCTTTTTGCATACGTATATAAAGCAAATGCCACAATACGATTTTCTTTACTTCCCACCCCATTGTTAATAAGCGAAAGCAAACACTTCAAAATCAAGTTCTTGCGTGTAAAATTTTTTTATTTGACTAAATATCTTCACCCCACTTGAAATGGAGTATTGTTCAAGGGAACGCTACAATCTCGAGCATAAAGCTGCCATACAAATTGAAAGTTCAAAAACCAGATAAAGATCTACATTAATTATATTTTTTCCTTATTAAGTAATCTTAATCCGACTTGAAGGTTCTTTATATTAAAAAACGTGGTTAAAAAGAGCTAGCAAAACGTTTTCCGTTGAAGGCAAACCGCTGAACGGGTAGGTTTTCAGACTTAGTTATACTCGTACATTCAGTTTATTAGTAAGTAAGTAATTTTGAAAAGTATTTACGGTAAATATGTGTGATTACCAATAGCTTTTCATATGTATTGATGCCAACATATTTTGATAATATAAGTTTTTCTATTATTGATAACATAGTTTCTAGCTAAGCTGTCAAGTTAGTGACATCCGCATTTCTACGTTCCACAGTTAAACCTAACCTAAAAAATTAACGAAAGTAAATTTCACAGCTGTGGAGCAATTGGTTGGAAAAATATAACATTTTGTGGGTCGCACGTTTTGATATTTTGAAAAAAGAGTAAAAAAAAGAAATTCGTGTTTCAATGGAAATCGTTTTTTTGTGAAAAAATACTGCTAATACGAAAAAGTTTTGTGCTCTGCGCCAGATGAAGCGACCATTATATAGCTGATTTCCTTGCACAGCATATGCTAATAAGTATGATAATCACAGTGGACGCCCAAAATAGGATAATACCGAAGAAAACATTATAAAATTAATAAAGTAATTTTGGGCGACAGTAAAATGTAGTTGTTCGAGGTAGCTGTAACTCCAAAGATATCAAAGTAGCATTTTGTTCATATTGTCCGTGAATATTTGGGTATACGAAAATCTTGTCTAAAGTAGGCGTCGATAGTAGAATTATAAGAATCAGACAAAGAAAAAAATTGTTAACCACTGGATCTAGCTCAGTCACCTTTTCTTTTGTTCAGACTCCAAAAGAATGAATAATATTAAGTTCAGCTGCACCGAAGTTATAATACCCTGCACAGGCGCATCTTTTATAGCATAAAATATAAAAGTATTTTTATCTTGATTTTGATCAGTCAGTTTGAATGGCAGCTGTATGTGGTCCGATCTGAACAATATGGTTGGAGATATTGGCCATGCCTTGGATAATCAATTATGCCAAAATTCGTGGGAACCTTTTGAAATAAAAAAGCTTTTCATACAAGAATCTGATCCATGTTTGATCGGTCAGTTTGTATGGCACCTATATGCCATAGTCGTCCGATATCGGCGGTTTCGACAAGCTGCTCACTTGCAACAAGTACCAGAAACTGAGGGACTGAACTGCGAATATACATACGGACAGACTGACATGGCTCGTCCCGCTGATCATTTATACATGTAACATACATTATAGGGTTCTCTTTTGAGTGTTTCAAACACCATGACAAACTTAATATACCCTGTTCAGGGTATAAAAATTTGTTTTTATTTATAAGGATATGAACTGTTATAAAATTTCATTTATTTTTTGTAGACGCAGTTTTGCTAATCATCTGTAATAGTAACATCCCGGCTTAACCTCTAGCTGAAATATCCAGTATACTCTTACATTTTGATTCAAAAATTCAAATCATATTGGAATAAGATGATGTCTGCGGTCCATAAATTTGGAGAATGCTTCATAAATATGTGCAAAAAAACTATACTATTTTTTTCATTATTTTATCATAACCTCAACTGCTGAAGGCCTATAAATAAGCTAAAACAACACAATAAATAATTGTCTTAAATCTCTTTGACTTTGCAGCATGTTATAAATCACACGAGTCGTTAATCAACAAATCAGAAACTCTTATATAAATATTATTAAATTAATTTTATGCAAACACAATTTATCTGCTCGGTTTGTTGGCTACTGAAATTTATCCGTACGAGCTAAGTAAATAACACCTAATCGCTATTTTATGAACCCAAAACTTGTTCGGCACAAATTTGCATTAGAGTTGCTTAGGAGCCACACCTAAGACAGCAATTCAAAGGCTTTGCGATCATACAAAACTACTTAGATACTACAAATATTTACTGCATTGAGGATTATGAATGTTGCTGTACTTATGTAAGCATACACATTTGCTCAATAAGACTCATGTACGAAATAGTTTAGAGCCGATAAATATCAGAAATCAACATAATCCGAACGGCTTAACTAGCGGTACAATGAATTGCCTTGAGAAGCATTAAATCACCTCGAAAATACTTTAAAGCTCAAAATTCAAGCAATCAAATCGAATAACATAGATATTTTGCACACACCAACACACAGATGTATATATGTGCATAGTTGAAATGTAGTTGCGGCGTATATGTGTGTGTGTTGGAAGGGTGTAGAGTTTGGGTTAACGGAAATGACATTGACAATGGCGGCGGTGACAGCAATGACAGTAACAATGGTGTGATTTATATACATATGTATGCTTTGCATATGGTGTATGTATATGTGTGTATGTGCAAATACATACAAATTTAGCTAACAAAGTCTCCGCTTTGAAGGAAGCAGCTTTGCTGTAGCACGTGAGCAAATAATAGCCATGTGAAGGCGCAAGGTTTTGCGATAGTTAGCTCACAGTACTCTCTATATTTACAGTTTAATACATATGTATATGTTGGCACAGACATATGTGGAAACACTGGCGGACCTACACAACAGACACACAAGCAACCATTTGATTTAAAGCTTGTATGTGCCAACATGTCTGCTGTGTATCTGCAACTGCTACTGTTTAATTCTAAGACGTAAGACACACATACACAAATATGTACATGCAAACACACATACATTTGCATATATGTACAAACATACTTACTTTCATACATATACATATATACGAGGCATGCAAAATATATTAATTGCTAAATTTGGCGAAATGTATCTGCGTAGATGACAATGTCAAGTCTGATTTAGCCATAAGCATACACATCCATATGTACATATATACAATATATGGTAGGTATGGTTGCTTATATTATAAATTAAATTGTAGTTATTTTAAACTGCCTACAAGGCAATGTGCTGAAAATTTAACGCTAACGCCATCGTCTCAAGCAAACATCTCACATGTCAAAGACATAAAGTTAGCCAAAGGATTTGAGTAAAAGTAACATAAGATACTCATTCATGACAGACAGTGTTTGCAACAGCAGCAACAATAACAACAAATTATATTTCAAAGCAGTTGAAGCAAGATTGCTTTGTATGCAAAGGAATAAGTGGCAGGAAAGGACAAAGTGACGCTGGCTGAGAGGACATTGGCAATTGAAGTGTGTATGTTTGCAGACTGGTATTCATGTACATGTTTGATATGTATGTATGTTTGATATGCGTTCAAAGGCGTAGACTGTGGGGTAGTTACATATATATTATCTATATAGACCCTGTAGCAAGTTATATAGACCTAACTAGCAAGTCTTATGTGAATTTCGAACTTATTCACTAACTTTCAGCTTGTTGAAAATTTAAGAAACTCCACTTTTATTTTCTGCTCTAATTTGATCAGATTATTGGCGTTGTC